GTAGGACTTGGAACAGAAATAGGAAACTGAATTTTAGGTGCTGATCGCGTGGTGCTGACACTTCGGATTACGTGTTGACACAAACTAGGAAACAGAATCTGATTCTTAACGCATGGTGTCGAGACCCCGATCATGTGTCGACACTACACCCGTGTCGGGTTTTTGGTTTCCTTTTGCAATTTCTTCAATGGTAAAATAGCAGATATGGTTCCTGACTTCTGGATTCTGCACAAGTTGATCCTCAAGTCTCTGATCTTTTCAATTTACTTCTAAAAAGTAGAATTTCTTCCAATTAAATCCTTTCCTACACAAAGAATGAAAACCATATAAAATCAAACAAAATCCCATAAAACTCATCCAAATATCAATAATATCAAAGTAAAAATTCCCTGTTAATATGTATATAAATTTAGCTCATCACATCTCTTAATTTGTATCTCCGAGGTCAATTCGTTTGGGATTTATTACTTGAACTTCACTTTTATTAATGAATTTCACTTCACATTCGAAGTGATTTACTTCATCTCAATTCTTATGTTAATACAAAACAAATAAAAGATAAAACAAGTGTACAAACACAATCAAAATTTTCCTTAAATTAATCAACAAATGCTACAAAAATGTCCAAAATAATCATTGTTTAAATTCTAACAACATTAATTAAAAAACAAAAACTCCTAACTATTCTGTTAGAGGAGGTGGCTGGGGTGGCTGTTGATCTGTTGGAAGAGGTGGCTGCTCTTCTTCAGAGGGAACTGGATGGACCTCCATTTGCAGAAGTGGCTGGCTCTCCTCAACTTCAGCACCTTCCGCCTCTGCTTCCTCTTCCTCCACTACTACAAACTCGAAGTCAAAGTTCGAAGGAAAAACAGTGTGTCCTTCTTCATCGTGATCCCACCTCAGTTTAATCTGAGGTTGAAAGTCCACTGACATACTCTCACCGTTTTCCTCCACCCTTTCCTCTTGTTCGCCGAAGGTGATATTTGTTATATCCACTTCGAGATATTCAGCTTTCACCTTCTTTCTGTAATCAGTGAAGGTGAGGATCATAGTAGGTAGTCGGTAGAGATTGACAATGTTGTTAAACGAGCTGGAGTTGATGAAGTTGGTGATATGCTCCTCCATCCCATTATGCACTAGTAGCTGAACATTCTTTTTGAGCTTGGCCTCAGATTCTCTCATTCTTTTTATCTCTTCTTCTTGTGCTTCATTCTCTTTTTCGCACATCTTTCTTTTCCTCTCTTCGAATGAAAGAATTGTCTTCAGTGAGTCTCTCTCATCTTGCAAGCTCGTCATTGCTGGTACTACTATATCCAGTTCCCTCTTCATTTCCCCATTCTTCTTTTGTAGCTCATCTCTTTCCTTCTACAGGCTATTGCGCTCCCTCACGAGTTCCATGAACTCCTAGGCTAGCACATTAACCCAAGTTCTAGTCTGCCACATCAATAACAAACAATCAAAAAAAAAAAAAGAAGAAAGAAAGCAAACAATAGTTATTATTAATAAGCATACCTCAAGAGCATGCCTCACAACTGAGGTCCCTCCATGCATCAACGCTTCCTCCCTTGCTTGACAGCGATCCACTTTAGGAATATAGGTGTTGATGAAATTTTTCGCGGTTGAAAAATTCTTGTTCCCAAAAATGCTGCTTTGGAGAGAAGAAGTGGGAACAACTGCTTTACCCTTGCCACAGGTGGGAACCTCGGTCTCTCTGAGATCAGGATCAAGCTCAACAGGAGGTGGCCGAGGTACGAACTCCACTACCTCATCCCCCCTGACCTCCTCCACCACTTTCCTCTTTTTCTTTTGGGCTTCATCCACTTCTTCATTCCTCTTTCGTTTGGGCTCAGACCTTAGCTCCTCAGCCTCTACATCTTGGATTTTTGTACTTGACATCTGCCCCTTCTCTTTGTTCCCATCTCCTTTATCGCTCGCAACATCCTCAAAAGTCTTGGACTTCTTCCTCGGCTTTTTGGGAATAGCCACCCCAGCAGCAACACCCAAAAATTTGTCCATCTTAGCTGCAAAATAACAAATATGTTAAAAACCACAAATCAGAACTCAACTCTTACATGACATAAAGTATAAACATACCTTCGCTCATTGAGCTCGGCCCATAGAGCTCAGCCCATAGAGCTCAGCTGCTTCTATAACATTTGAGCTGGTGAGAAACATAATATCTACTATATCACCCTCCTTTCTCACCAGCTTCTTCGCTTCTTCCTTGTCACTATTTAAACTATACTTATTCTGGTTGGTCTTTTTAGCCTTCCAGGTAGACAAAAATTCTACTTCTCCATCTCCCCTCTCCCATTCAGTGTCATCAACAAAGAAAAATTTTTCCTTCTATCCTTTAATGGATGAAGGCCCTGCACTAAACATGTTCCTCTTTTCTTTGTTGGACGACCGAGGTGTAAAGTAGTACCACCCCTTCTCCTTTTTACTCCCAGCCTTAGGCACAAAAAAGTGCTTAAACATACTCACCGTAGGCACCTAAACCCCCCTAGCTCGATAGTATACTATGAACCCAATTATCACTCTCACTGCATTGGGTGATAATTGGGTCAAACCCACACTATACTCCAACAATAACCACACTAGCAAATCTGGCAATGGAAACCTAAGCCCTGCTGCCAAATAATGGGCATACATCGGCATCTAGTGATCCTGGGGTGTAGAGCATGCCTTCTCCTCCACTCCAGCAGGCTTAATTAGAACTCGAGAATAAATCTCGTAAGTCTCTACGAGATAACTCAGGCTATCCCTAGTCCCGAGTTCAGACTCATACTCCTTTACCTCAGACACAATGTCTGCCCCATTATCATAAAACTTATTATTCCTATCTCCCACTTTCAGTATATTTGCAGGAATCCTTTTTGCTCCAACCTCAACCACTTCATTTCGCCTTACCCCTCCCTCTGTTCGCTTAGATCCAGACGACCCACTCTCCACACTTACATCACTATACTCCAGCATTTTTACTTCCTCTTTCCCCCCAATGCTCAATGTTTCCTCAGAAGACATCTTGTCAGTCTCGTAACTTTCACTGCACGGAGTAAGGGGAGAGATGTAGTCAAGATCTTCAAAAAACTCTAACTCACGCTCAATATCACTCTCACTCCTAACCCTAACCTTCTTAAGAGGGCTTAAACCTAAATAAAAAAGGGTGAGAGGAGAATAAAATTCACCACTGGAACTTGAATCACAAAAGTTCATAAGTTACCTGATTTCGATAGTGTAGAACGAGTCTCAAAGTCAAAAATGTAACATACGAATCACTTGCACACACAGTGTAGAGATTTTGGCAGCACTTTGGTAGCAAATATAGAGAAAGTAAAACTCTTTTTACAGAAGTATAGCTATATATACCAAAGAAAATATACGCCTCAACGACTCTGATTAATTTTATCTTACGGTCACGATTACACCGTTTCGAATTCAACGGTTAATCCCTAATGGAAATCTCTTGAATTCAACGATTTGTTTTCCATTTCATCTGTTTAACTGTAGCTGTTACTTTTCCCAATCCATATTTATTGTACACGTCTTTCAACAGACAGCTGTCATGTCATGTACTAACTCTACGTCAGACTTTTTAAACGGGCCCAATTAAGCCTAACCCAATACTTCTGTTCACTTTCACAATAATATTTTTCAATTTTACAAGTGTTTTACCTCGGCTACGGCAACAATGACTCCGGTTATCACTTGTAACCTTGGCTACGGCCACAATGACTTCGGTCATCACTTATTACTTCGGCTCCAACCTTCGTAACCCCGTGTCACATATTTTACTTCGACTCTGACCATAGTGACCCCATGTCACATATTTTACTTTAGCTCTGGCCATAGTGACTTCGCGTCACCTATTTTACTTCGGCTCTGGCCATAGTGACCACATGTCACCTATTTTACTTCGGCTCCAACCATAGTGACCACGTGTCACCTATTTTATTTCGGCATCGGCCATAGTGACTCCGTGTCACATATTTTACTTCGGCTCTGGCCATTGTGATCACGTGCCACATTTCATTTCGGATATTGCCACAGTGACCCTGTGTCACATATTTTACTTTAGTTATGGCCATACATGAATTTGAGTTACCAATTTTTATTTTAATTATGACTCTAGTAACTCAACTCTAATATTCTTTCATTCCTCTTTTCACCTAATTATACACTACTCCTACCACCTTTAACAACATCATTCACAAGTGAATGATTTTGAGGGGGAATAGTGTAAGGATAGGTCCGAGGACCTTAACCTCGGACGTACTACTACAGTTCCTTAATAACCGAAGTGAAGTTAAATCCAGCACTTCCTAGTCAAATGGCTGCATGATAAATACAGTGAACATATCCACACCTGATTTATCACACATAATTTCTCGGTCCCAAAATTATTGCCTAAAGGGACACATCACACTCCGATTATCTTGTTAAGCAAGCCACGTGGACACCTCACTAAGACCTATAAATACCCCCCAGGGGCCATCTCAGAAAGGCAATTGACAACGACCTAAGGCTCCTTTTTCCATTCTTCTAAAGTTAGATCTGATTCTTGCTGACTTAAGCATCGGAGTGTCTACCTCGAGGACCCACCTCGGAGCTTTGCAAGTTCATTTGGAATGAAGACGCGGACTGAAAACGCAAACTGAAGAAGGACTTCTGGTTTGGTGCAATTACAATACCACAAGCAACTTGACATCCATAAATTCCTTATACAATATGAAATACAATAATCATACTTGAAAATGTACAATTTTTTTCTAACGTGGTAATGGTGGGATTCGGTCTGGAGCTAAATTTTGAATCACTTCGAAAGCGCTTATTTATGATTACGTACACATGCTAAATTTGGTTTCTGTGATAAGTAATGCTGGACGCCTATTCATGTACTATCATGATGGAATATTTCTAAAATAATGCTTCGCATTTTGAATATCCTTGAATGTTAATTCTAAATGCTAAATATTGATCCTTAAAATTCAGAGACCAAAAGAAATCTTGAAATCTAAAATCATAAATCCTAAATTTTGAAGTCTAACTTGAGCCCTAAAACACAAACTGTTAATAGATTATTTGGTTTGAAAGAAGGGAAGTATAGGTGAGCAGAGAGAAATTTACTACAACAAAATCAAATTATTTCAAATTAGTTTTATTGATAGAAAGAAGGTTACTTTTACTCCCCTCACCCTCCCCACCCTTTCTTTCTACTTCCCTCAAGCTAAATTTAAATTAGAATATCAAATCCAACGTAACAATTTGTTAATATAAGTTAAAAGAGTTTGATTTTCTTTAAATAAAGTTTTAAATTTAAATTTTATAAATGAAGAGATAGGTTCTGAGAGAACTCCTCTTATGAGTCTAACATGATTTAACTCTAAATTAATTAAGATACAATGTAATGTCTAAATATTAAAATTTTATTTGGAAAAAAAAAAAGAATAAAGATATTGACTGCACTAAATTAATTTGAAATATACCCAATAAATGTTTCTTTAAGGCCCAAATTTTAAAATAAGAGAAATTTTAGGGGCAAAAGTTAAATGATCCAGCCCATTTTGTTCTTTAAAGGATTTCTCCAACTCCTCCTGATCCGCTGCACTTCCCCTTGTTTCTCCACCACTCTTCAACAGGCACTTTCTCATCTACTATTTCCCCATGCCTTCCTCCTGTTTTGGCAACACTTGCTCCTCTATTTCTCGAAGTTTTGGCTTCCACTCCTCCTATGGTGGTTCGACCGCCCACGCCCATCATCAACATGGATGGTTTCTTGGACCCTTTCTAGAAGACATTAAATAGAAAATTCTGAAGAAGACCCAAAGCTGCGATTCAATCCTTCCCTTTGGTAAGACTAAAATCAATTTTAATCAATTTTTCTGTGTCTTGAAACGATTTGCACATGTAAATTTTTGTTAGTAGGATTCTGCATTAATACCCTAAGAAATATCCCCTATTTCTTTCAAGGATTAGGGTTTACTTTGTTTTTGTTTGAGTGTACAAATTTCTCAAAGGGTTGTTTACTATAATGGTTAAAATTCAACCAATAGGAGTAGTGGATTATAGGTAATGAGTGGTGATTTGTGAATAGTAGATAGCAGATATCATAAAATAAGTAATTGGATAGTAGGCAATGGATTTCAGTTGATATATAAACTCTTTGGTTATATAATAGTTAATATTTGTTGTTTAACAGTAAATGATTAATAAGGACATTTAAAAGTAATTAATTGTATTTTTTTATATGTTTTATTATTAAAATTATTAATTTTATAAAACAAATAATAAGAAAATAAATAAAATAAATTATAATAGTGTATTCACACATTCATTTTAATTTTTAACAAAGAAAAAAATCATATTATTTTTAAATAAAGAAGAAAAATCTAATCAATTCCTCTAATTAATAATTTTGTTGATTAAGCTAATATAATTTTTTATGATAAATTAATGTATAAAATAAAAATATACTATTAAGTTATTAAAGAGAAGAAAGGAATTTAAGATTAATTAGATAAGTACTAATTAAAAACCCTAGCCAAAAAATAAAAAATAAAAAAGGATAAATTCATTAATAAAATTAAAAAATCATAATCTGTTAATGGTTTGGTATATCTGCTAGTGGTTTTGACTCTAACTGCTACCCGTTAGTTTCAAACTGTTAAAGAAAAATTTTTAACGAACACCTAATTGGTAGTGGTTTTGAAATAAATAAGTTTACTACTCATTTCGTTTATTTTTAGTAGACTTAGTTTGAATTTTTAATTTTTAAGATATGAATTTTAGATAAAAATTTAACAATTCATATGAACAACAATTTAAAATTTTTTTATCAAATAAAAGTACTTAATAAAAACAATATATAGAGACAAAAAAAAAATTTCAATTATTGTTCATATAGATCGTTAAATTTTCATCTAACATTCATGCTTAAAAGTTAAAAAGTTTAATTAGGTCAACTAAACATGATCATATGGAGTCAATGCTATCATTAGCAGTTTGGACAAAACTATTAACTGCTACTCTCAAACCGTTATAGCAAATGGGTCCTAAATCTTCTAATGCATTTCACTCTTAGCAAGAAAGCAAGATTTGATGATGAAAGCATGAAAATGTATATTTAAAGTGTGTTTAACCATTGACATTTGTAAAATTATGGGTTTAAGAGTTGTATTTTTCTATAAGTAATTTCATAATTTTTCATTCTATTCATGTTGTGCAAAATTTTGGTGATTAAATGTTTGATAACTAAATGGAGAGAATTAGAAGAAAATGACTCAAATATAAAGAGCCAGAAAGATGAGGGTCAAAGGATCAAATTTAGAAGTTTGAAGGCTCAAGTGAGATTTTTTCCATTTTTGATTAAGGAGCAACTTGCAAAGATCAGAAATATGATGATCAACTTGCGTGGAATCCATGAGTCAGGGACTAGGACTGTCATTCTGCTATTAATCAAAATTGCACAAAAGGCCAAAAATCCGATACGGAGTATGCAGTTGGCGCTCCAATCAAAGTGCCGACACTTTGTAAAGGGTCTCGACCCCTTACGCGACTTTCAGCAACTCATTATTTTGATGCAGGTCCCACGGCCATTCTAATTAGGGTTTCTAAAACTCTATAAATACTCATCTGAGTTCAGAATTGGACAGGTTGAAGAGGTTGCTACCAAGCTTTTATTTTCTTCTTCAAAGCTAGAGAATCATGTCGAAGTACAACTAAATATTTAACAAAATTAGAGAGGATCTTAATTGAAGAGTTTGACTTGTTATTTTGTTTTGATTTCTTCGTAGATTTTATTGTTTAATTTTATTTTTGAGAGATTATTAATTATTTTCAGATTTGAAAACCCTAAAAATTATATTCATCAAATTTCATATAAGATTAGTTATGCTCTTTTTATGTGTAATTTGTTAGAATATAATTAAATGATAGATTTGTTTTGCAGGTTGATCTTTTACTACAGTATTATTGATTAGATATATTGTCGCTCTTGGATAGCTCGTAATGATAAATCAGTTTGTTCTTTATTGAAATTAATTTCTCTCAAAATAAATACATTAGTTATTATTATTGGTTTTCAAAGTTAAATCTTCCGATTGTTTGTTTGGAATGTCAAACATGCAATTAAATAATAAATAAGAATCAAAATTTATAACAATTAAACAAATCAATATTCATCATAACATTGTTTTCAATTCTTTATAATTATCATCTTTTATTTTTATTTTTAATTTTAGAAATCATCTTTTAATTTATTTTCTCATTGTGACAATTATTTTTATTGGTTTAATATAGTTTTCCTGTGGATTCGATACCTAAAATTATGCTACAACA